TTTGAAAAACTCTAACTTGAGCTTCGGAGCCCTTATGCCGGGTTCTCCCCGGAGCTTCTCTTCTCCCTCCGTTTCAGGTCCCTGCCACCCGGTTCAGAGGCAAGATCGTTGACAGCTAAGATCGGCCGGATTGTGCATCATCACCTTGTAATATTGAACGCGTCTCTGAACAGCACTTGGGACTCCTTGACATTCACCGCTGTTGATGACTCGGATTGTTGCTCCAAATCCTTGGCCGGTAACGGGATGCACATTATTCATCCAAAACCAGAACGCTGTCTTGAAGGACACCACGGCATCTCTGGCGACAATCTCTGGATCCCTTAGACCGTCGAATCCGATGCTCCTGCCGGCAGCCCCATAGTTGTAATTCCACGTTATCTGAATCGGACCACGGCCGTAGTATGCTTTGCCTGGAGCACATGGGTACTGCGGGTAGTTCCTGTCATCACAGTAGATGGAGGTGCGCTTTATCTCTCCTATGTAGCACAAGTCTGCAAATCCAGAAACCAGAAATGATTCAGGCATATGATACAGATTAACCATGTTTAATTCAGAATGCAGGTCAACTTACGTCCAGTCTCATGCGTGACATGCGCAAAGAAAGCTGCTATCTCACGCTTGGAGTCGTCGGAAGTCCCGTCCCGGCCAAAGCGGGGATAGGAATTGAGGGCGTTGAGGAAGGCAGCGCGGGTGTAAAAGTTCTTGCCGGCGCAACTGGGCGCGGCCTGAGCGATTATCCCATTAAAGAATTCTGGTGTCACCAAAGAGGCAACAGAAACACCACTACTTCCGCCGCTGCAAGGGCCCTGTTGACATCCTGGGCCACAGTACTCCTTGCCTCTGCCACAATAGCCATACTGGCTGCAGCACAGGTCTGGGGCACAACCACAGTTTTGTCCCACAACGGACTCCGGCAGAAGTCCGGCCAAAGTTCCGGCTACAACAAGGGTAAGTGAAATGATATGGGGGTTTGCCATGGAGGAGAGAAGTAGATAGCAAAGATGAATTAATGCAGTGGACTGCAAAATAAATGCAGGGGAAGGGGAAGTATTTAAGAAGATACTTCACGCGTTCGCTCTGCTGAAAAGTAAGTCAATTGAGTCAACAGATGATACTCGTAATTGGAATTCGCATCGGCGCTGCACAGAGCGCGCCCTTCATCACATCCCAACCGTGTATTGGGGACATCTTCCGTCTCAAGTAACGGGAGGGAGATGTTCACAATGCACGTTGAGATGCATGTGTTGATGTTCACAATCAACGCCTGGCATGTCTTATCTGAGTTCGCATCAGCGCCCCACACAATCGAAAAGCGCCACCTGTCCTCCCCCACAAGCCGCTCCCTTAACGCGTGTGGAGCTAATCCGTCCCATTAGCTCCCAAACTCGCCCAGGCCAAAATCCTATACTTCGACCCCTGTTCCTTCCGTCTCCACCTCTCTCGTCCCAGAAGTCCAGAACCCCTGTTCCTTCCGTCTCCATCTCTCGTCCCAGAAATCCAAAACGAGCTCGGACTCCACATTTCTTCTCCGGCATCGACATTCTTTCCGGCGGTCACACCATCCAGCAACATTCAATGGGTAAAGAATATCAACAGACATTTGTCTGGGACCATTCTCAGACAAGTATAACATTCAGAAACATCCTCCATTGCACATGATATCGAATAAGTTCTTATCAGTCAAGAATATCAACAGGCAAAAATACACGGCAGATTTCTAACAAATATCTTTGAGCAGTATTCAACGAATGATAAGGATCTGATTACAATGATTTGGATGATTATACAAGACAACTTGGCCATTACGAGATACTGGAGTTCACTTTTACTCCATTGCTGAATGAGTTCAGGACCATCTGCTGGTGAAAAAGCACAGTCAAGTAACTTATGTTATCAAGTAAAATTTAAGATTCTGTCGAACAGGGCAATGTGGTTTTTCTTTATTCAGGGCTGTAAGGAGCCCTCCACTCCTTCAAAGCTTCAACAAAAGTTTTCTTTCCTAATATTTAGAAACCTTTTCGGATGATATGCACAACCTTTAGGAGTTCAGCTTCTCAGCCAGCTCTAGATAAGATGTATAAAAACTTCAAATTAACTGAGAAAAGAAAGAAATTTGTAATGTTTCATTGAATAATGACCGTCTCTTCTCCAAAATGAAAGTTGACGTAGGCGCACATGGCAGAGTCCGCGTTCTGACGCGTATACCTGGAATCAGATAAAGACACGTCGGTGGGGTTGGGAGATCCAAATGTTAACGGGACTTTTGGCCGTTACTTGGACGTATCCGCTCAAACCGGATGCCAAAATTCACCCCATTTCAAGTCCGTTCCTCTCTAGAATTCATTCGGCCTTCTATAATGTCCTCCGTTCCTCTCCAACTCCACCCTCTTCAGCCACCTCTGATCCTATCTCACGGGCTTCAAAATCCTCCAAAGCTCAAATTCACCTTGTTTCAAGTCCGCAAGTTCTCTTCACTCAGCCTCAAGGGGTTTCTAGTTTTTGCTTCTTCGTTGTCTTTAAATCCGTCAAATTGGGACAGAGAAGAAATAAGATGTCTTAGAGAAGAGCAACGGTGGCTCCGCCAAGAGCAATGATGGATTCGTGAAGAATCGCACTGGAATTCGGAACGGAAAGTGCTCCTTCGAGAAATCTCAGAGTTGAAACTGCAAATTCAAGCCCTAGAACGCCAGAATTCTCCACAAGGAGCTTCAATGTCTCCAAGAATGCTAGAATTCTCCGCAATGCATGTCTGCGATGAAGAACGAAAATGTATTTTGCACGCATTTAAGCTCTAGAAGAAATGCATTCAAGCCCTAGAAGGCTTCAATGTCTCTGACCAGCCTTCTTAGTGTTCCCAATGTTTCTTCCCCACTTCATTCATTAACCAGCAAGCTTTTTCATTTTTGCATGGCAGCTTCTCCGTCGCCTCCATTCGGCTTCGTTGATGAAGAAAGTTTTCTCTGGTCTCCTCTCTTAGTTCTGCGTTCGCTTCCTTGTCTGTTCCACGTTGAAGGCTGGTCAGATGCTCTCTTTTCTCGCTCCCTGAGATTGTGTTTGTCTCGGTTTGAAGTTTATTTGATGATTCAGTTCATTCAAGCAGGGAAGTGGGTTTTGATCTTCTTTTCCAATAATCATCTATTTTATTTTCTATTTTTTGTTGAACTACTTCGATTTCTGCTCATTTTCTTGTTTGTTTGTGCTTTATTTTTTGGTTTTAATCTTTATACTATGAGTTGAAGAGCTTGTGTTGGAACAATGGAAGTGTGGTGGTAAAAATCAAACGAAGAACCAAGAAAATCTATAGAAGAGAAGAGGAATATGGAATGAAGAGAAGAAGAGAGGAAGATGAAAAGCCCACGTAGAGTTCTGGGTTTACTTCTTCTTAGCTTCTTGAGATGTCCTACAAAATGTTCCAGGTTACAAGAAATATATAGGACTTTTACTTTTACACTCAAAACCTTTTAGCTTCCAACTCCCAAAACAATCCACTTAATACAAAAGACAAAACATGAAGGAAAACTACAAAATTACCATTCTAACTTTTCAGCACCCCTCTTAATTTGTAATTTTCATTAGAGATCTAAAATGTAGAAATTTTTCAGAAGCTAGGGATTTGGTGAAGATATCAGCAACTTGATCTTCAATCTTGATGAACTTCAATTCAATCTCTCCTTTCTCAATTGACTCTCTGATGAAGTGTTGTCTCAGCTCAATGTGCTTTGTCCTTCCATGAAAAACTGGATTTTTGGTCATTGCAATAACTGAAGTGTTGTCATAGTAGATTGTAGTTGGGCCATCTTGCACAAATTGAAGGTCTTTCAAAAGTCTTCTAAGCCAAATTGCTTCACAAGATGCACTAGTGGCTGAAATGTATTATACTTCAGCTGAAGAAAGTGCCACAATATTTTGCTTCTTAGATGACCAAGAAATCACTTTACTTCCCAAAGAGAAAATATATCCAATTGTGCTTTTTCGGTCATCTATGGAACTAGCCCAATCACTTTTTGAAAATCCAACCAGCTTGCAGTCATTTTCACTTTCATATTTCAGCCCAAAGTTTTTGGTTCCTTTCACATATCTGAGTATTCTCTTTGCTACACCAAAATGAACTTTACTTGGCTTGTTCATGTATCTTGAAACAATGCTCACAGCAAGAACAATATCTGGCCTTGTGTTGGTGAGATAAATCAAGGAATCAACAAGGCTTTTGTAGATTGATACATCTAGCAATTCTGCTCCATCCTCCTTTGACAACTTTTCATTGACAACCATAGGAGTAGCTAGGGTTTACATGTTAAAATATGAAACATTTTTAACAAATCATCGACATGATTTTCTTGGGACATAAAAATTTCACCTTTTCTTTGCTTCACTTGAATCCCAAGAAAGTATCTCATTAACCCCAAATCAATCATCTCATATTCCTTGGTCATTGCTAATTTAAACTCATTCAAAAATTTTGGGCAGTTACTTGTATAAATCAAATCATCAACATAAAGACAAACAAGGATAAAATCATGCATACCTTTCTTCTTGACATAGAGTGATGGCTCATTTGGACTTTTTTCAAATCCATTCTTAAGAAAATATTTATCAATCTTGCTATGCCATGCCCGAGGTGCTTGCTTTAGGCCATACAAAGCTTTTCAAAGCTTGTAAACCTTCTCCTCCTTTCCTTCTATCACATATGCTTATGGTTGTTCAACATAAACTTCTTCCAAATCTCTATTTAGGAAGACGATTTCACATCAAATTGAAACACTTGTAGTTGTAGTTGAACAACAAGTGCAAGCATAGTTCTGATTGTTTCCATTCTTACAACTGGTGCAAAAGTCTCATGGAAATCTACCCCCGGCTGTTGAGCATAACCTTTAGCCATTAACCTTGCTTTGTGCTTTTGGATTGACACATATTCATTGAACTTTGTTTTGTAAACCCATTTCAGTCCAATCACTTCTTTTTCTTTAGGTTTATTTACCAACTCCCATGTCTTGTTCTTCTTTATCATTTCGATTTCTTCATTCATAGCTTTCACCCAAACTTCTTCAAATTTCTGTGGTTCTAATGCAAGAAATGCAATATCACAAGAATCAAAGGTTTCTTGAAGTGAACGTACATTTCTTGGTGGAGTATCTGAATCTACATCACTTTGGCTTATTTGCCATGGATCTTGGTTTCTTGAACTTGAGGGATCCATTCTTAGACTGAAATTTGTTGAGTTTGAACTTCTTGAGTTTGCTGGCCTTGCATTTGATGTAGTTGTATCATGCTCATGGTCATTAGGCATCTCTTATTCTTCATCTTCTATAACATATTTCTTTGTTTGTGGGTATTTTTTTCAAAGTTCCATGACCCCTTTTCATCAAATATTACATCTCTTGAAATTAGCAACTCATTTGTAGTTAGATTCAGCAATCTGTAACCTTTGGACTCATCACTATAACCAAGGAAGGTACATTTCTCACCTTTGGCATCAAACTTCTCTCTCTTCTTTGAGGAAATGTGAGCATAAGAAATTCAGTTGATCCCACACTCTCCTCTAACGGGCATTGATATAACAGTTGATCCCACCCGAGACCTTTGGTTCTGCCTCTACACTCTGACAGAACCCGTGGCCAACATTAGCCTGCCAATCATACTCTTCTTTAAGGGCGGAGGATTTGCAACACTCCGCCCTGATTCATTCTTATACAATCCCACCTGCCACTGGTTCGCACGGGAGATCCCCATCATGGTTGTCTCCGTCAACTACCGCCTATCTCCGGAAAACCACTTCTTGTCATAGTACGATGATGGGTTCGACTTGCTTAAGTTCCACGATGATAGAGATGTCTCATCTGCGAGAGGAGAGGAGAGGAGAGGAGAGGAGCAAAACGCTCATTTTTCTTAAACTAAGGGAAAATTCCCGATTAGTATGTTGTACTTTGGTTCGAGTGACTATTTGGTCCCTAAACTTTAAAATGTGACAACACAGTACCCAAACTTTCAAAATGTGACAATCTAGTACCTACCGTTAACTAGTCCATTAATCAGCCATTAAGTGACATTTGAATAGTCAAAATTGCCCTTCAAATGCCACCGAATTCTCTTTATCAACCATCCAAATATTGACAATAAAATGAACAGTCCCAAATTCTAGATTCTTCTAAACAATCATCAACTTTTTTCAATAGAAGAGGCTAGAATTTGGGACTGTTCAGTTTTTTGTCAACGTTTGGATGGTTGATAAAGAGAATTAGATGGCATTTGAAGGGCATTTTTAACTTTTCAAATGTCACTTAATAGCTAATTAACGGATTGGTTAACGACAGATACTGGATTGTCATATTTTGAAAGTTCGGATACTGGATTGTTACATTTTAAAAGTTTGGGTACTGGATTGTCGCATTTTAAAGTTCGGGAACCAAATTGTCACTCAAGCCAAAGTACATGGTACTGATCGGGAATTTTCCCTTAAACTAACAGTGAGTCTCACTAACGGGGTGAAGTATCCTCGCATGCTTCGGCCCTTCACACGATTTGAAGGATGCGTGGTGCATCCTCCGAATGCACAAATGGTGCCCTGACTAAGGGTACCTGGAGTGAAGTCAAACTTTGTATGAGTTCAGCTTCAGTCAGGGCAAAGCCCATTCGAGCAGTTTTTATTTCTTTGCATTGAGAATATCTCTGTACTTGTATGCTTGATTTCATGGGGAGATGTTCCCAATACAAAATTACAAAAGGCTGTTAGAATAGCATGGGCACAGATTTGCCTTGATAGAAGCCGATCTAGAATCGTATATGCACAATCATCAACTATATTGCCTTGGTGGAGATCAACTCTCAACTCATCCAAATAGAAAGCAAACCGGAAACTATCGGGTTTCTATCCCCATAAGATATGGTGTGTGTAATCAGTATAAACTGCCTAAGAAATAAAGCACATAAGTACAGAAATCTTCCCAATACAAGGCAGTAAAATCTGCCTGAATGAAAATATTCCCAATACAAGGCAGTAAAATCTGCCTGAAAGGGCTTTACGATGAACCAATGATGGTGGTGGTGATGATGATTATAATGATAATACTTGGCATTGAACCACATAAAGTTCTAATGATACCAAAAGCAAAAGGACTCCTTTTTATTTCTTTATATGTTGTATTTATTTTGTTCCACATCATCACTAATTAGTATTTAGTGTCAAACATTAAAACAGACTACTGTATGTAAAAGTAAAACATGATTTCCATTCTAACAAGTAAGGTTGTCACCAGGTGACACACCCAACTGCCCACAATACTCCGTGTAATACCGAACACGAGACTGAACAGTTGCTGGGTTTCTTCCATCGCATTCAAGAGCTCCATTAATGGCTCTTATGGTCGGCCCAAACCCTTGGCCGGAAGTTATGAGCGAGTGGCAGTTATTCATCCAATACCACAATGCTGTCTTGAATGACACCACCACGTCGTTGGCCACCGTCTCCGGCGCATTCAGACCGTCGAATCCAATGCTGTTTCCGGCCGGCCCATAGTTAAAATTCCACGATAGCTGAATCGGCCCACGGCCGTAGTACCCCTTGCCTGCAACGCACGGATACTCTGTGTTGGTCTCGTCACAGTAGTCCTTGGAGGGTCCATCGATCTCTTCTATATAGCAAAAGTCTGTAAACCCAGAAACAATATATTGTTAGTTAATGAAAACTCAGTGATCGGAGCTACTGGTTCAACAGAATTCTGAGGGATCATGAAGAAATTTTACGTCCAGTCTCATGTGTCACATGTGCAAAGAAAGCTGCAATTTCACGCTTGGAGTCGTCGGCAGTCCCAACCTTGCCGAAGCGAGAGTAGGAGTTAAGGGCTTCGAGGAACGCATTCCGTGTGTAGAATTTCTTCCCGACACAGCTGTCCTCCGCCTGATTAATTATCCCGTTAAAGAACTCCGGCGTGACGATATCAGCAACGACGACGTCATTAGTGCTGGCCGGATCATTACATGGACCCTGTTGGCATCCTGCACCACAGTAGTCCTCACCTGTGCCACAGTACCCCCACTGGCTGCAGCAAAGGTCTGCAGCGCAGCCGCAGTTCTGACCCTGAACAGACTCCGGCAAAAGCCCGGCTAGAATTCCGGCCACAAGGGCAGTGAGAACTATCGCTTTGGGAGTAGCCATAACGAATACAGAAATGGATGATTAGAATGTGTTCGCAATGGAAGTGAGAATGGGTATTTATAATTTGGTTTCAATCACATCAGTCAACAACCAAAAGTCAAGAGGTTCGGCGGTGAATGCTCAATTATGACTTTTTGACATCTGAAATTGACTATGAAATTTTTGCTTGTGCTTCGCCAAAGTCAAGAGGTTGGGACGTTAAAATTAATTCCTCCGCTGACTTTTCTTGTGCATCGCCAAAGTCAAAGGAGATTATCGTTAGGGGTCCGTTAATTCGTCTGTTGACTTTTCTTGTGCTTATAGATGGGTGGATACATGCTTTCACACCGATGGAGGATGATTTGGCACGACCTCCAAAACGGTGACATTTGAACCTGATTCAGCACGAGTAATAGCTCAACATCGAGGTCTATTACGACCAAGTAATGAGCCCATAAAGTAGTTTGCCATTTCGTAGCTCGTAAAAAGGATGCGAGCTCCGGGTTCCCCGAGCTTCCCCGAAGGGGATTTCCAAGGCAACTTTAGCTCGCGAGATAGGGAAACCAGCTCGCCTGGGCCCCCAGCAGATAAGTCGTCCCAGGGACCAATTCTACTAAGGGTAACCCTGAGGTATTCCCAAGCTCGCTACAAAGTTGTTCGCAAGTGCACAACATGAGCGTTCCTTTGGAAGCTTCTATCTGACAGGCCGTACCGATCAGATTGCGCCACGTCCCTTAACTGACGGCGCAGTCTTTGTCCTTTCGACAGTCTGCGCCCATGTCTCTCAGCTGGCGGAGGCGCGCCTGCCCCTTGGAAACATGCCACTCACCCGGGTAAGGAGTACGTTGCAACGGCCACCTGCGTAGCCCTGGCAGGTAACGGCTGTGGCAGGGGTCCAGTGGCGGTTACGCCCGATCCAACAAGAACACCCCTATAAAAGCCCTCAAGGAAGAGGGGAAAAGAGATCTTCAGACTTTGGAACACATTAATATTCTCATACTCTAAACTGCATACACCTTTGCTCGCGAGCTAATCTCTCGAACACAGTGATAAAGCGCGACCTACACTCTTAGCTTTAGCACTCTTCTTTTCTCTTTCCCCTGTGTTCTGACTTAAGCATTGGAGTATTCCCACCGGGTAAGTCCCCGGGAATCCTTATTTTCCGTCTTCTCAGGTGTCGTCTGTCGCCAACAAGGAGCTAGTCAGCAAACAGCTAGGAGTGCCCGGATCGCGCCGCATCATTTGGCGTCGTCTGTGGGAACGCTTCTAAAAGCCTCCCTCTAAACTTTCACAGTTCCTTCTTTTCTGAAAACTTAGCACCCATGGCTTCTTCAAGCAATGTCGAACGTAGCATGGAGATGGACATCGCCAAAGAACAGCTCTAGGCCCCCGTGGTCTGCATTGGGCAGTTCACCATTCCCCTTTCAGTGGATGGAGTCCCTAGCCTGAACGTGCCACGAGCAGTGACGCCTGTGAGTGTTCCCCTTCCCCCCTCTGTTGAGACAACCTTTGTTGAACCAACTATTGTCCCTCCGACGACAAGCCAGAGCCAACTTGACAACCTGGTGCAGTCCATGCGGGCCATGCAAGCCCAGATGCAGCAGTTTCAGCAGTTCCAGCTCTACTAGCAGCAAGTGCTGCACCAAGTCTCTCAGTATCACTATTAGTAGCAATTCCCTCAACTGCCTCAGCTCCCTCCTCGGCACCCAGCCTCACAACAAGCTAGGTCCCGCCGCCAGGATGAACACCCTTCTCGCCAAGGAGAGGCTTCCCAGGACCCCCCTAAGAGCCAAGCCTCCTCTCAAGGCAGAAAGGAAAGACCAGCCACTCCGGTCTCGTCACGGGCAGTCAGGTCGGGAGGACCCCAGCTTGCCAGATCTACGTCACCTCAGCAATCGAAGTTCGAAGCCCCACTTCTGGAGAACCGGTTAGAGATTCTAACTGTAGACTCTAAGCAGAACCCCTCTGTCCGTAGCCATCACCAGCAACCCGAGTTGCTTCCTGTGCAAACTATGCCATACAGTACGGAGGTGAGCAGCACCAATGCGGAGCCCGCCAAGAAGCAAAGACGTCGCTGCAGAGCTCGCCGAACTACCACCCACAACCTGCCCGAGCTCAGAGATAGGGAAGAGGTAAGCTCGAGTGAAGTTAAAACTCCCCTCCTTTCTATTCCATCCCCCTGTCTCCCGAGCTCCAGGCTGTTCCAATGCCCAAGGACTTCAAGCTCCCCCCTCTCGACAAGTATGACGGGTCGTTTGACCCGAATGATCATGTAGATGCTTTCCAGTCACAGATGCACCTGGTAGGGCCATTGAGTCTTGCATGTGTGTTGCCTTCTCCACCACTTTCAGAGGAGCGACCTGCATGTGATATCGGAACCTTGCACCCAGATCTATAAGAAGTTGGGCACAGTTTGCGCAAGCCTTCACGTCCCACTTTGTCACCAGCAAGCGGTGCCCGCGAACTGAGGAAAGCCTTCTCAGCATAGTCCAGAAAGAGGGAGAGTCCATCCGGGGCTATATCAAGCGGTTCAACGATGCATGCATACAGATACCGCGCCTGGACCCCATAGTGCGCCTTGCAGCAGCCAAGAAGGGCGTGACACACAAAGAATTCAAGTGGCACATGGTTGTCAACCAGTCGGCGACCATAATTGAATTCCTCAAGCTTGCGGACAGGTTCATAGCCATGGAAGAAGAGATCAACCAGAAGGGGGAAAGCGTGCCCAAGAAAAGAAAAAGAGAAGGAGAACCTTCCAGCCAAGGAGACAGCCGAAAGAAGGACTCGGCGTGAGGAGCAAAGCAGGGTCAACCGTTCCGAGCCCCTGTTGCGGACCGAACTGATTACACCCCACTGAACGCGAAGCGGGCCGAAATCCTGATGGCAATCAATGATGCCCCGTACATGAAGTGGCCACCCCGCCTGAGGGGGAATCCCAATGAAAGAAATAAAATTTTGTATTGTAGTTTTCACAGAGACCACGGTCATAGTACTGAGAACTGCAAGAATCTCCGCGACGAGATAGAGGAACTCATTCGTCGTGGATATCAAAGAAATTTCTTACAGAATAACAACAATAATAATAATAAAGCAGGTCGGCAAGGGAAGCATGGTAAGGATGCTCCCGAGTCCAGGAGCAGGCCGATAGAGCAGTCGCAGAGGCAGCCTCCGAAAGAGAGGCCAGTTCGGGGCACCATCCACATGATAGTTGGAGGCTCAATCGTTGCAGGCTGTACCTCGGTGGCAGCTTGGACGTTAGTTCACAAAGCTGCCAGGGAAGAACAAAATCCTCCGAAACAGCCAAAGACAAAGGAACCGATCTTCTTCACGGAGGACGATGCGTGCGGGGTCCACTACCCCCACGATGACGCACTCGTCATAAAAGTAAGGATCAATGATTTTGAGGTCAGGCGCGTCCTCGTTGAATCAGGAAGCTCGACAGATATCCTCTTCAAAGTCGCATTCAACCAGTTTCAGTTGTAGGGAAGCGACTTGAGGCCCACTAATACTCCCTTGGTGGGCTTCAGCGGAGAAGAAGTCAGGTCCCTCGGGAAAATAATAGTATCTGTGGAACTCGGCACATGGCCCAACGTAGTCAGACTCAACCATGACTTTTTGGTGGTCGTGACCTCCTCCCTGTACAACGCCATAATAGGTCGGCCGATCACCCATGTCCTACGAGCGATGGTCTCCACTTATCATTTGGCAATGAAGTTCCCTACAGACTTCGGAGTAGGGGTAGCGCGGGGTGACCAACTTGAGTATCGCAAGTGCTATGTCACCGCCCTCAAGGGAAAGACCAAGGTGGCCGACAACCTCGAACTGGAGCGACCTACGGAGCAAGGCAAAGAACGAGCTACACCCATGAAAGAGACAGTTGTTATCCCAACTTCAGCAGAAGACCCAGGTCAAACACTTCAGATCGGTGCTTCAGTCCAAGAACCCCTGCGATCTGAACTATTAGGCCCGTTAGACAGAAGAAACGTAACCTAGCCCCGGAGCGAAGGAAAACAGTCGACGAGGAGGTCGCGAAGCTCCTCGCAGCGGACTTCATAAGAGAAGTCCATTACCCGAGCTGGGTAGCCAACCCCGTTCTGGTAAAGAAGGCTAACGGCAAGTGGCGCATGTGCGTCGACTACATCAACCTAAACCGAGTCTGCCCAAACGACTGCTTCCCACTCTCCAGAATCGACCGCTTAGTGGATGCGACCTCGAGGCACGAGTTGCTGAGTTTCTTAGATGCCTATTCGGGCTATAACCAGATCAGGATGCACCCGATCGATGAAGAAAAGACTACCTTCATCACAAAGTTCGGTCTATATTGTTACAAGGTTATGCCCTTCGGGTTGAAAAATGCTAGGGCAACCTTTCAAAGGCTTGTAAATAAATTATTTGAGTCATTGATTGGCAGAAAAATAGAGTGTTATGTAGACGACATGGTCGTCAAAACACAGTTCTCACACGAATTAATACAAGACTTGCATTCTGTCTTTCAAATTCTACGACAATTTAACATGAAGTTGAATCCAAACAAATGTGTCTTCGGTGTCACCTCGGGCAAATTCCTAGGATACATCGTTAATCAACGCGGCATTGAGGCCAACCCGGATAAGATTAAGGCCATCTTAGATATGAGACCACCCCGGAAGTTGAAGGAGGTTCAAAGGTTGAATGGCCACGTAGCCACCCTGAGCCACTTTATGTCCAAGTCAGCGGACCGCTGTCTGCCTTTCTTTTAAGGTAATTAAAAGCAAAGGGTTCGAATGGACCCAAGACTGCCAGCTCGCATTTGACAAGCTCAAGAAATACCTCGCTAGTGTGCCAATCTTAACCCGGCCCGAAGAGGGCGATATTTTAGAATTGTACCTCTCGACAAGTGACGAAGTGGTCAGCTTGGCACTGATAAAGGAAGTAAATCGGGTCCAACGACCCATCTATTATGTTAGTAAAGTATTGTAGAGAGCAGAGACGACATATCCAGAGATAGAGAAGCTAGCCTACGCACTGGTCATTACAGCTCGAAAGCTCCGT